CTATGTAAATATGGAAAGTAAAGGCTGTATAGAATCAGGAAAAATAGGAAAGTAGAAGCTGTCAAATATTAGCTTTAATTAGTTTCCTTTTCTGTTGTAATTGCTCTCTTTATAAGAGAGAATCATGTTCTCATTCTTTGAGTGATTAAAAATATATTCCTTCCTCATATTTTCTGAGTAACACCAACAAAACTCAAAGGATTCAAATTATCTCTCTCTACACCAATGAATCTTTTCAGCATTAATACTCCATCTATGTCAGATTTATCAACACAAGGTCAAGCTTCAAAACATGAATTTCAGGACTACATTTCTCATGCAAATCAAGATTCAACAGAGGCAATAGCTATTTCAAGACAAAATTACTGCATCAAAGTTCTATTCAAGTCAGGATCACCAATGGACGCTTAAATCTCATGCAAAGGTTTCAGAATATATATTCTCAAAACAAGTCAGAGATACTAAACCAAGATTTAACAGAGCACTGGTTATCTCAAATCAGAATTACGAGCCTTCGAATAACCCGAATCCCAAACCAAATGAAGTTTATAATTAGAGGAAAGATTTTGGCAAAACAATGAAATTCATAAATGGGTTTTGAACAACAGCTTGTCTACAGATCCGGAGCAACGAAGAAGAATGAAGTTCGTTAAATGAAGACTAAAGCTCATCAAAACCAAGAGCTGGCTTGGTTCCAAAAAAATAACCAGGACAGGTCGGCAGCAACACGAGTGGCGCTAGAGGACAAAGACGCAGCAGTGACGACGGCGTCGAGTGTGACGCAAACAAGCGACGAAGTAGCTTGGCAGACCGACGCCACGTTGAAAAGGCGGCGTGGTCGGCGTTGATCAAATCACGGCTGAAGGCAGTGGCTAGGTTGGAGGTTATGAACGCGAAGCAAGCCTTGCGAGCTGGGTAGTCACACCCACAGGGTAGGACTCCGGTTGACTGTCGCATGGGCCGACGGGGTGCTCGACAACGTTGGTGAAATCTGTGTTGTAACGAAGCTGTGGCAAGAAATAGTGATGGTTCACAGCGGTGTGCAATCCCAGCCAAAGTGACAAAATAAAAAGGAAGGAGGCCGGCGACAGTGGTCTTCAATGGAGTGCGAAGTAAGATGGTACCTAGGTCTTGTTCCAGTATATAGAGTGGGCTGAGAATAGGGTTTTCAGGACATCGACTCAGCATCAATCGTTCGGATTAGGAAGATTACGACAGAGATGCTGTACTCGGCGACAGCACTCCGCTGAAATGGGCGTTGCTGCTCGTTGGTTGCCTTTTTTGGTCTCACTACTAGTCTCTATGTTGCTGCCTTCAATCATGGAGTAGGTCTCTGTGTTGCTGCCTTTAAGCAAAATATATATATAGATATAAGGGGGCCCAAGTTTTTAAGATTTATTTATTTGCAAGAAATCTAGGTTGGTCTCTTGGTTTAGAGAGAGAGAGCCGAAATGGTTGTGCAGCAAACCAAAAAAAAAAATGAACTATGGATTAGGTTTTGTCCTTTCCTTTAAATATAAAAAGAGAGAGGGGTGATTCTTGAAATATTCTCTTAAATATTCCACACACACACACATATATATATATATATATATAATGGGCCTGCTATCATTCCCAAACAAGAAAAAAAAAAATTGTGTATGGTCCTGTGGTCTCTCAAATATTCTAAGAGCATATATATATATATATATATAAACGGGTCTTCTGTTAGTTGATTTTCTTTTGACTTGGAGGAGAAAAGTTTGGATTAGCGAATAGTAAGGATTTGCAAAATTCTGGAATCAAAATAATGAAGAGAAGTTGTGTCGGCTCAGGCAATACACAAGGAATTATCCGGTGCATCTAGGGCATAACACCTACACATCCCACCAAAGCCAAGTGTTTAAATATTTATTTGAGAGAAACATAACACAGGCTGACGTAGCATGATGCGGGCAGATATTCCTTAGTATTGGTAGAATATTTTCTGATATTTTGAAAATTGTAATTTAGTCCCGAATTTTTAGATAATTATGGTGTGGCCCACCTCTCGGGAAAGTATTTCAGTAAGGCTCCCGAACATGCAACGAAGGTTGATCCAAGCTAAACGGACCATTTTGGACGCAACTGCAAGGTTAGAATGATGAAATTCTAAACAATTTTTTAAGATTTCAAAAGAACCTAATAACACATTGCCAAGGGCGTGATGCGAAGCATGGCCGAAGAAGTGAAAATATACATGTCCAAGTAATTCAAAATTTCTCATACATGCAAGAGGCAAAATGTAAGAGGTGTTAACTTGAGTCCACTAAATTAATTGGGCCCAATCGAAGCCTAATCGGAAAGTCCAAAATTTGGTGAACTTCGAAAAATTATTGCCAAATGGGCTAAATGAATTCTATTGAACGGCCCCATAAGAAAGTTAACAAATTGGGCCGAGAAGGATACATTTCAAGCATATTTCTCTAAAGAGAGTCCAACAAGCCCATCCGATGAGGCCTAGAGATGAAACCCTCGGAGGAGATCCATTCTCTGAAGTATTGGTTTAGTCTTGAAAGGGTTTGAAACCACGAACCTAGAGACCTATTTGAGCTCAGACTTGAAAGGGTTTCGGATCCATGAACCTAGAGATCCAAAGCGCTTGGCTTTGAACGGATTCGAACGCAATCTAGAAGTCACTCTGTTAATGAGTCCCAAAACACTTGGAGGCTCGAAACTTTCCGGGATCTACGCACCAGAACCATGGACGTGATGGAGTCCGAACAAAGAACCCGATCCTGAAGACGGTGAGTGAAGATAAATTCACCCTTCGGTTAAACTAGCCTATACGCGGGTCGAGGTGGCACGATCTAGGGAGTCCCTGAGACTCGACAATATTTGCGGCAGGGCGTTCTCCTATGTTACATGGACTCGGGTGCGGGTATGTATCTAGTGGTCGGACTCATCAAATCATAAATTTAAGGATACGCGGACTCAGCAAAAAAATGTCATATTTTTATATTTTTAATTTAATACGTGAGATAAAATGGTATTATATTTAACTTATAGTGTCAAAATGACATTTATAGCAATTACACAACAATATGTACATATAATAATAGTGTTATATACAATTATATAAGAAATATTCGTTGAAAAGTATCCGACACATATCCCATACCCTTGTCCGAGTGTCGAGTGTCCGACACGGGTATTTGATTTATTTTGAAGAGTCCATGTAACATAGGCGTTCTCTTAAACTACCCCTGACCCTTCTGTGACAGGGCGTCCTCTGGGATTACCCCTAACCCTTTGGGATGATTAGGGATCATTGGTTAGGTGTGGCTAAAAAGAAGAGTTCGCCGAAAGGTTGATCTCCTCTTCGGGATTTTCCTCATCCTCAGAGAGGTCACCTCTTCGGACAAGGTGGTTAGAGAGAATATTCTCCATATACTTTGCACATGGGTTCCATCCTACATCATGAGGTGCCTATAAATAGCACTTACCCATAGCTTTACAAGAGATGGATTTTGGAGAGATAACTCTTGGGAAAGAACTAATTTCCCTTCTCCATTATCAACCTTGAGAGTGAAAGTAAGAGATCCATGGGAGAGTCTTGCCATTATTCTCTCTCTAACTACTTTGCCTTCTTCTTCACCCAATCTCTTATCTCCATCATCTCTTTGCTTTTGTGTTTTTGAACCTCTCTTGTTTTGGTTAGTTGTACATGACCATCCTCTTTGATGTCTTTTCTAAAACATTCCACTTACCAAAAATTTATTTTTCTCTAAAAATATGAAATCTAGTTCTTTCTAATGATTTTTTTTAACTTCTATTATGATCTCTTTTTTTTTTTCCCCTTTTTGTGCCCATCAAAGATTTGTACCATAATACCTAAGATTATATAGATGTGGAGAGGTAACAACATTCTTCTTTGATTGCAACCTTTAAATCACTAGATTCCATTTTTAACCACCATCATTCTTATCATAAACATCCAAATACTTCAAAAATGGATTAATCAACTCAACTAGTGTAACGCCAATAGATAATACACTTGCAAATAGCCCTTGATTGCAAAGATCACTCTTTTTTCCTTGTCTATAGACTATAAACCTTTAGATGCAGATAACTTGTTAAAAAATCTGAGGAAGAAATAAAATGACTAAGATGGCTAACCAGCAACACGAAGCAACAAACATGTTCCTTCATTGTCCTGATAGTATCTCCTGATTTCAATTTATGACAACAGTGTTGTTTACCTTTTTCTGTACTTGTCTCGTAACAAGTTGAATGTGTCACTAAAGAAAAATTTTGGTGCAGAAAGAGGAAGAGATTCTCCCAAAAATGTTAGTGAAAGAAAAAGGAATATAATGAAAAAGAGGCTGATCATATCAATTGACAAAGAAGATGGGATTCCTACTCGAACATTATCCAATTCTGAATTATTCCATACAAGAACAATATTTTAACATTTCTTGAGATGTCGTAGGAGTGCTATTCCCTTAAAATATCTACATACATACATATATATAGCTTCCTTTATTTTCATATAATTAAGCAAAGAAGCTATGAGACTTCCAAAGAATGTTTGCTCTTGAAAATCAAGGTGAGGCATCTTTAGAAACACGATCAGGAAAAGAAGGGGTCTAGATGCAATGCAAAATGAACCAGGCCGGCACAATTTCACGAGCACTGCTTGTGAATTTACAGTGCAATACATAAAATTGACCATTTATGCCCCCACTTCATAATGATCACATTCATTGTTAAGAAAATTAAGAGAGTTCTTTTTCCACATTCTCTAGTTGGGATTCCATAGTTGTATGATTCCTTAGAAATCTAACAACTTTGTTCTTTCCAAATAAATAGCACCCAATATTATCACATAAAAAACTCACAGATGGATGATACATAGCAACCATTAAAAGCGCAAGAGAAGACCACTAAAATACACGCAACAGAAGTAGTACTATTTGGTGATAGATTTCTGAGCTTTCTAAGTTAGAACAATAAACATTTGTAATAATAAAAGAACATACCAACAGCCACAAGTGTGCTTGCACTTCTTTCAACCTCCTACAAAAGATAATGACACTCAGAACATTAATTCATTAATAATTAAAACAGTAGAAGTCAAACAATAATACTAATATACAGTCATCGAATGCAAATTCAATAAAAAGAAGGGAAAAAACAAGCACGGCTAATAACCTGAACCATCAGCTGACGAGTTCGCCGAAGGCTCTCAGTGATGCTTTCTGCAGCAGATGTCATTCCAGCTTTCGTCCTAGTAGGCAATTAGAAATCATAAATCCCTTATAATAAACACATCCACACGGAGTAAAGATTTGGACATTCAATTAACACCACTAACCATAATACAAATATCTCATGAGTTACGATATTTAAATGTGAGTATAAAACAAAAAGCCAACAGAGTAATACGTACTGTAAATTGCGCCTGCGAATTGTGGACTCTTCTCCTCCTCCCAAAAGAAGTTCTCTCTAGAATTGATACAACCATATCAAACTACACTTCACTTGGAATATTTAGAGTAGAGAAATTTTAAAAATTCTAAAGATCTACATTCCCAACTTCCCAAGTATTATATGACACACAGACCTCATTTGGAAAGTTCGCTATTTTAGTTTTTAGCTATTTTAGTATGTTAAAATTTTTGTATTTGGAACGAGAATTGAATTTTTTTGTAATTGGATGTAATGCTTGTGAGAGAAAAAGTGAAATGATTATGAATTTGATGTGATATTTCAGAAGTGTTTGGAAAGAAGTTTTTTTAGCTTTTGTGGCTAAAATAGCTAATAAGACAAAATGTCACATCAAACCCATAATCATTTCACTTTTTCTTTTACAAATATCACATCCAATTACAAAAAAATTTAACTATCTTCCCAAATACAAAAATTTTAATCTCTTAAAATAGCCAAAAACTAAAATAACGAACTAAAATAACAACTTCCCAAACACTCATTTTGTCTTATTGACTATTTTAACTTATTTTGTTTTTTTGTGAATTTTAGACCCAAAAAAACCCCAAATTTGACTTCCCAAACACCGCCACATACACACTGCTTCAAATAAAGAAAATTGCCGTGCGCGTGCACACCAAAAAAAAAAAAGGGACTACAAATGAAGATAAATATCAGTGAACAATTTCATAGGATCAGCTCTATGAAGCACGGATACTTCAAAAATGGTGACGTATCCGTATTTTGGGATGTTCTAAAAAAGTACACTTTTTGACTTATTAGCTTATATGGGTTGGGTTTGGGTTGGGTTTGATGTGATGTGTTAGAGAGGTGATGTGATGTGTTAGAGAGGTGATGTGATTTAAATAAAATGATGTCACTTAAATAGGATAATGACTTTTTGACTTTTTGTATTATTTAGTTGATGCCAAACTTGGCCTTAATCTCTTAAAATAGCCAAAAACTAAAATAAACAACTAAAATAGCAACTTCCCAAACACTCATTTTGTCTTATTGACTATTTTAACTTATTTTGTTTTTTTGTGAATTTTAGACCCAAAAAAACCCCAAATTTGACTTCCCAAACACCGCCACATACACACTGCTTCAAATAAAGAAAATTGCCGTGCGCGTGCACACCAAAAAAAAAAAAGGGACTACAAATGAAGATAAATATCAGTGAACAATTTCATAGGATCAGCTTGATTGCAATGAATGGTTTATTAAACAAGCTAAACTAGCAAACGATTGAACAAAGCTAGTCAATTACCTCTTCCTGAGCCGCTTTCCTCATGTTAGCCTTTGCTTGCAAATTCGCATTTCTCAAACTCAACCGCAAACTGAACAAATAGTAATAAAGAGCATTATTATGTACAGATAAACATGAACTAACTCCGCCCAATAACTCATTATCAAGAAAAACAATAAATTCTGCTCCTTTTGGTCACCCAGAAAATGCAAGAAAATCAAAAATAAATAAATAAGCCCATTCTAGATCAACACCCAACTGATACAAAGCACAAATTTGAACATTCTTAAACTAAAATATCAAAATACCCGACCCAAAAACCCATAAATTCAGCTCCAATCGGTCACCCACAAAATTTTCAACTTTCTTAAACTAAAGTAGCAATATATTTATATACATATATATATTTTACGACCCAGAAACTCTCACTCTTCTCTCTTTAAGCACTGCTTGTGAATTTACAGTGCAATACATAAAATTGACCATTTATGCCCCCACTTCATAATGATCACATTCATTGTTAAGAAAATTAAGAGAGTTCTTTTCCCAGAAAATGCAAGAAAATCAAAAATTAAAAATTAAAGAGGCCATTCTAGATCTACAAAAGCAAAATTTTCAAATTTCTTAAACTAAAGTAGCAAAAAAAACCATGACCCAGAAATCATTCTTCTATCTTTTAATCATTTTCCCAACAACCCATATATATATATATATATATGTAGAGAGAGAGAGAGAGAGAGTTGGTGCCTTTGGATTTGGTGTTTCCATGAATCGAGCAAGGACTGGGCGGCCTGAACTTGATCGTCAGTGGGTAGCTGAGGAGCGAGAAGATCGAGATTGAAGTGCAAAGAATTGAGCAAAGCCAGAGCGTCCTGTGCGATGCCATTCAATCTGGGCAGAGAATTCTTCTGCTCCGCATCGGAGCTTCCTGTTGTTGATTTACCGAACTCTTCGATTGACTTGATCGTGTCTTTGGTTCGTCGATACGCCTCTTCCCAATCCTTCTTCGCCTTCTCAACAGCCTCCACAACCTTGTCCATTTAAACCACTATAGGTTACACTAGATCTGCGTCAAATCTACCTAGTTTTGGGGTTTCTTCTTCAAATAAAATCTGAATTGTACAATAACTTGGAAATTTTTTTGATTTTGAAGGAGAGTGTTGTAGACTGCTGATTCACTCTTGTTTTTCGATTCCTTTGTTTGGGAGTTGGGAAAACGCAGGAAAATTGAAATGGGTTATACATTATAGAATGACCTCTGGGCCGGGTCAGACTAAATCCGAACAGCATGGGTTAAAACGTGATGTGAGGTTTTGAATTCGGCCCAATTTTTTGAAAATAATAGTTGTAAATTATATTTTTAACCTTTTAATTTGGGTAAATAACACTATGGCCTTGTTTGACAAATGTCTTTTTTTTAATTTTTGGACTAAAATTCATAAAAAGATAAAATATGTTAGAATAGTTAATAAGACAAAATATCACTGATAGAAAATTTTGCGGAACATAAACTAAAAACCATTAAGGATTCAATTCTATACATAAAAACTATATGAATTTCTATTATACAAAATAAAAAGTGTATACATACCTTGATCCATGATAGTATAAAAATCTTAATACAGAAACCTTGAATAGAAGACCTTGATCTTCAAGTTCTTTACTTGTCTAAGATCTTCAAACAGCTTCTCTCTCTAGGCGATGAGAGCCTTCTTGTGGAGACAACTTGAGTTTTGTAATGGAGACTGTGGTTTGGGACCTTACACTATTTATACTAGTATTCTTCCCATCAAAGAATTCATTCATTCAGTGAACTTCATTAAATAGATTAATGTATCTTTTACATTCATGATATATAATGCATCTTCTATATTAATGAATTCATTAGATAGATTAATGTATCTTTTACATTCATAATAGATACATAATGCATCTCTAAGATTCATTCATAATGAATCTATCACATTCAATGCATTGACACTATTTCTATTAGTCTTCTATACATTATGTATATATAGGTGCATTCATCAATAATTAGTCACCATCTAATTAGTGTACACGTATCTTGCTTAATGAGATGAATCTAGTATAATTATGCATAAGCCACATTAAGCCATATTTAGGAAAAATTCTTACAGTCACATAAAACTCATAATTATTTCACTTTTTTTTCTCACAAATATTATATCCAACTACAAAAAAATCAAACTATTTTTCTAAACACAAATATTTTAGCCTACTAAACTAGTCAAAAATTAAAATAGCCAACTTTCTAAATAAGGTCTAACCTCCCCTTATGGTTGGAAAAAAAAACACTAAGGGGGTGTTTGGAAAGTTGATTTTAGGTTAAAATAGTCAATAAATACAGAATAAGTTAAAATAGTCAATAAGACAAAATGTCACATCCAAACCATAATTATTTCACTTTTTTTTTCACAACTCTCAAATCAATTATAAAAAAAAAACTATCATCCCAAACATAACTTTTTTAGCCAAGCTAAAATAGTCAAAAAGTCAATTAAAACAGCCTATTCCCAAACAGGGTGTAAGTTTGACAGTTTTGAAATAATTACATTGACCTTTTTTTAGTAAAATTAAATGAATCAAAACTAATGCAGATCGTGCAAAAATGCAAATATAAAGAAAGTAAAGTATACATTTTCGTGTAAAAGAGACGACAATATCATTTTTTTTTTTATCTATATAACTAACAAATTGTTGATGAAAAATGGACTAAGTGTTATATTAATTAAAATTTTAATGGAGCTTATTATAATTATGTCAAAATTATAAGGCTCACTGTATTTCCTTCAAACCTCAAGAAAGGTCAGTGTAATTAATCCTTTTAATTTTATTTGGGCACTTATCTTCTAATTACAATGACGTAAGTTTTAAAATTTCATGTATTCAATATGATCCTTTTATTGTTTAGGATGACCTAAATAAGTGCATTTTTGATTTTTTACGAGAAAATATGCACCAAAGTAGAAAGATGATGTGACCCAAAAAAAGATAAAAAGATAAAAAGTGTGCTTATAATTTGTGACAATTTTCTTTTAATTTTGGATTTTGTCTTTATTTAGTCTAATCAATAACGTTGGCTGGCTTTCTTAACAGAAATATAAGCCTCACGTGGCTATTCTTATGGACAAATTTGTAAAATCGCTCACATTTCATATTTACTTGGTCTAATTTGGTGAGTTAATTCATTTAAAAATAACTATTTTGGTTGAAAATAAAGAGAGAATGAAAAGAAATGAAAGGTTTTGTAGTCGTTGGTGCCAAAAGGGTAATGGGTTTCTAAGGTGGAAAAAAGATGGATGATTATGAATGAAGGGTTTTATAGTATGAGATGGTAGATGGTAGAAGAAATGGTTTCAATGTCTATGGTTGACAACTTTTGGTGGTTATTTGTGGATTTGATTGGTTGATTTCAGTTGTATTTGGTTGATGGAGATAATAGTGACTACTAGGGGTGTTCATGGATCCGAATCACTTGACAAATCCGAACCAAACCGTCTGAACCGACCCAAGTATGGGCGGTTTTGAAAATCTCACAGTCAGCAGTGGTTTAAATTTAGAAAATTTGTTCAAATTTCGGTCGGATATCAGGCTTCTCATATAAAAAATCATTTAAACCGAACGAACTGATTAAAGTACTGAACTGACTGACTGAAAATTGGAACTGAATTGACTGAGTATGTATGTTAATTTGTATTCTATCTGTTTGATCGATTATTTGATCTGTTCGTGTTTTATGTTTAAACTGCTAATTGAAGACCTTATCGGCGGCCGAAACAGGAATTGATTGATGTTTTACGATCCTCATAATTAATGTGATTTTATGGCATATTTATCTGAAAACTGATTAGGTATGATTAAATTAGATTGAAATGCGTTTAATTGCAATAATTGGACTTATTTACACTTAGACCACTTAGTGGCCACTACCTAGTTAACTCTAGAGCCTTGCATTGAATCTAAACATCTTCCTCAGCCTTATCTCTTGCTTTGCCAACTTAGAGGGTGTGAGGGAGAGAATTGATTTGTGTTTGAGGAATTGGCTTATTCAACTTGGAGAATTGCTTGCTAATTGAAGTATTGATTTCATAATTGAGCTTCTAGGCTTGAACTACAAAACTAAGGTAGAGTAACTACTCTCTTGTTCTTGAATATTAAGTGATTCTTGCATGGTTCATGTCTAATTGAGGAGCTAAGTCATAATTTAGTTCTAGCATGTTGAATTCTAGCTCATTCCTTGCATGCATGTTAGTATTGTTGGGTTTTGAGTTGAGTTCATGGCAAATTGTCACTTGCATGTCCATGTTTTGAGTGTAGTCCATGATTTCATCATGTTTTGGAAACAATTGGCTCCTTAGAACATCAAATTGAAGCTTTGAATTGATTTGAATTCATGCATGTTTGCATGTTCTCCATGTTCATGACAATGGTTTGAAATTGGATTCGAATTAAACACCCTTGGGCTTTGGTTTCTCAAAATTGAGCTTTGAACCGTGTCATTCTATATGTTTACTAGTGTTTTCTGGAAATTTAGCCCAAGAGGATCGGTTTTGATGCATTTAAACTTGGTTTTTGGCTTGGAGGTGCAATCTGGGTTTTCCAGATTTTGCACTTCCGCTCGAGCGGGGAAAGTGGCGCTCGAGCGTGGAATCCGAGCATCCAGCATTTCTCTGCACTGTTTTACAGTCCGCTCGAGCGGAGGATTGGGCGCTCGAGCGGAGTCATGTGTCTCAAGCTCGAGCGGGCGTCGAGCGGAGATTTCACTCATCCAGTACTTTTACAGTACGCTCAAGCGGGGTATTGTACGCTCGAGCGTGCACCTTTGTTGCATGACCGCTCGAGCGGGGGAAACCTGTGCTCGAGCGAGACTCTGTTTTTCTGATAAATTCTGAAACTGTTTTTTGAGTACATCTTTGCATCCTTATCTCATTCTAGGCATTCTTAGGCCTAGTTTAAGACATCTTATTGAGGATATAGATGTAGAACACACCGAGTCAAATTAGGGGTTAAGTTATTATCTTTCCCAGCTGTGTAGCTTAGTGTGTTCAATCTGTTAACTGTGTAGGGTTGGCGACTGGGGAGGCACGCTCTAGCTTACTGTAGCCCGAACTCTGTGAGTAATGATTGTGTAAAGATATGTTCGCAAATGATTATCTTCTGAACAACTGAACTGTACTATTTTCTGAACTGATTACTGTTAACTGAATGAATGTATGTCTTATATTCTGAACTGTATTGTGGCATCCTTAGCACCTACTGTTTACTGTTACTGTGACAGAAATCTCTGTCGGTTCCCTTGTTGGAACCACTACTGTTTACTGACTGATGGCCATCATTACTGCTCGGTCTTTTAAGACCTACTGTTTACTGTACTGTTATGCTAATGGGTGTACCACATATGACTGTACTGACTGAACAACTGAAATACTGTTTAAATGAATTGTTTCATTACTGTAAGGACATTCATTCTTAACCTCTTTACGCATTATGTTATTCACTGGGCTTTAGCTCACTGCTCATATATATATGTAGGTGTACAGGCACCGGACCGCGGCTAGGAGCGTCAGGGTTACTCCAGTTTTGTCAAGCCAACTACCGTGCCTCACTGCGAGGTTCCGAGCTTATCTTGCTAAGGCTTAGGGGTGTTTTAGGACTCCCCCTTCTGTACTGTCTTACTGTTTGTAATAACTGAATGGATTGTATAGACTGAATGTTACTGTACTGTTATGTAAGGGATTGAGTCCCTGGTCTGAATGATTGTATATATTATGCATACTGTTCTGTACTGATTATGTATATATGTATGAAAAGTCTTTTTGCATACAGACTGTCACAGCTCATTGGGCATTGTTTATTTACTGTTTTGGCTTCCGCCAGGCCCTGTACTCTGTTTTACTGTTCTACTATTAAGCAGGCCTTCGGTAATCTCGGATTACTGGCCGGTTACGGTGCTAAACCCATAGGGCCGAGTTTGGGTCGTGACAGAGTGGTATCAGAGCGATACTTAATCACGAGTTATACCGCACATACGTGTCCAAATGAGCTATAGGATGTCCTAGAAAAGTGATTAGGGCATTTCATGAGCATGATAAGTGTGTGGTTATGTTATGACTGAATATATGCTAACGTGTTAAACTGTTAAACAAATGACTGCTTATGATTAAAACTGTTTTAACTACTTATAGTGAAATGGATAACGCAAACACT